ACTTTTCAACCGTCTTACGCCTCAAGCAAGGGCAAGTGAGTAAGCTCATTTTTAAAAACGATGCCATCCGAAATCGGATTTCCAATGAGCTTCCAATGACTTTGACAAGCGGTGCATTTGTCCACAAAAAGCGCAATAAACAAACCAGCCATGAATTACAGAACAATCTTGATAGCAGCTGTATTTCTTTTTGTACACCAAGTGGAAAAAGATAGTTTAAAACATAACAAGATGACACAAAACTCTGTCAGCTCCAGCTATCAGTAAAGCTCAGTAAGCAAGTTTCTAGACGCGGCATAAATTTTCCGCATGAACTTACTTGTCAAATTTTGACCAATCAGAACATAAAAATTGGACGTAGAGCGTGATCATCGCGTGACAGTGAGAAAAGTCAAAAGTGATTGCATTCCCTGCATGTAAATGTAAAAGCCGGATGAATTTTCGCGTCCGAGGTCAGTTCGAAATCAACATTTTAAAAGTGCGGCTCATGAACACGACTTATTTCATATGCATTTAAAAAAAATTGAACTTGAGCCTGCGATAATTGAAAAGTAGCAACTTGTCAGCACACTCGAACTTTGTGGGTCGATACCTGAGCCCGCGATAGGGTTAGGCGATACTGGTCCCCAGATCCCAGAAACACTATTTTGACAGCTGTCAATTAATCAAAACATGGATGTACAATATCAGGTTGCAGGCTTCCAAACTAGCAAGAAAGTGTGAGATTAAACATTGGTATGCCTGTGGTGCGGACGGACGGAAGGTCGGGTGGGCGGTGTACGGTCACGTGATTGCCAAATTTTCTAAGATGGATAGATTTTCTAAGCTATGGGGCTTCGAATTGAGCCCGTGATCAAATAAAATATCAGCGCAAAACTTTAAACACTACGTGACCTCAATGGATAGACAAATGAACCCGCGATACACTCAGGTGATGATGGTTAGCGTATCCTCTAGTTTGACAGCTGTCAATTAACCTTCATTAGAATGGCGAATATTCGAATTAACAGACTACGAGTGTGAGTAAGACATATCCGTCCGGCATGTAGTGGAAAATGCCAGATCGTGTACCTGAGCGAACCTGAGCCCACGTTATTAGTTTTCTGATAGTGGTCTGCACATGTCCCATTTTAACAGCTGTCAATTGACCTTAATTTGGCTTGCAAATATAACTTTAAACGACTGTCAGCCAACAGCCTTGCCCGGCGTAGTTTCATTTTTATGTTGAATTGGTTAGTGTGACATATTATATTAGCTTATATGTAGGAGCAAAACGACTGGTCTTTCATCTGAGCCCGCGAGATGGTCATGTGATAATTGTCAGCGGATGTCTGATTTTGACAGCTGTCAATCTAATCGTACTCATACGGATGGCTTACCTAACTACTTGCTAGTTGTGCAAGATCTATGGTGACATTTGACATCCTCTTACATGAGGAGTG